GCAGTCCATCACGCGAAAGATCCTCTCAATCTCTTTCAACCATTCCAATGCTCCGTCAGGATCATATTTTCCCTTGAATGTAGGTGGATTCTCTCTCTGGAAAGTCGCCAAGCTACGAGATCCAGCATTCCCGTCAGCATTCGGCTGATTTTCCATCGCATGAGCCATTGCTTCTAGAGCAGTAGCAAGAGCAACATCATTCCTTCCAGCCATCTCAAATTCTTACTACAACACAAACAACGGTTAGAACTCAAAATAACAATACTCGATTGTTAGACAACTACGACTCGACGACAAGGTCGGACCAACCTTTTACTCTGATACCAACTTTGTAACACCCCAATTCTACCCCAAGCAAATTATGCAAAATAAGTCAGAGTTATAAAATTTCATTCATACAAATGAATCGGGACGTCACAAATTCTTCTAACAAATTAATTGCATTCATCATGGATATATAACACTTTTTCAAACATCGGATGAACCATCTACATAGCATCTTTAATAAAATAATTCAACAACTATGCAACGGAGTTCTTCAATGACATCTCTAAATAAAACAAAAACTTTGAAACATCTCTTATCTAATAATAAACAATTTAAGGTTCAACAACTAAAAATCAACAATAAAAAATTAGCAAGCGTTCATCCCCCCGAGTGTTACATATCAGAGCAATAACACCGACTCAAACTATTGAAGGTATACAGCCTTCACTCGCGATTACCTGCACGTTACCAACATAGGGGCAACATTCAAACAGAAGGGGTGAGATATCTAACAATATAATAAAGCGCATGATAATTAATATATTAAATCAGATCAATAATGTCACCACTTCTCATCTCATAATCAACAATAATTACAACATATATACTCATTCAACAATAATTAATATATTAAATCAGATCAATAATGTCACCACTTCTCATCTCATAATCAACATAATTACAACATATATCAAATACATTTCATTATACAATCATATAATGCGACTCAAAACTATGCAAATGCATGTGGTACCATTGGAGCAGAACTCCTATCTCAAAAATCTGTCGATTAATAGAGGCATCAACAAGGCATGGCCTTCATCTCAAAATTTGCCAATCCAGGCCATTTCAACGAGCATAAGCTCCATCTCAAAAATGCAATGTATGCGACTCTTCATGAATGTAATATCAACATCTCAATCATCTCAAAACACAACATCTCATAAACATCTCAGAACAACAACATCTCATAAACATCTCAGAACAACAACATCTCATAAACATCTCAAAACATCTCAATTACAGCATCTCATAAACATCTCAAAATAATTTATTAAACATCACTTATTTATCAAACGTCATTTGTTCATCATAAATTATCAAACACCACTTTAATAACCACATCTCGTTAATGACTCAGCTGTATATCAATAATACAGTAAGCCATCCTATTATTCTGCTAATTTATATTGTTGTTGTCACTAATCCTACTGTCATACTTCCGAACAGAAACCTCTAAACATCTCATGTTCATCATTCTGTCTAAAATCCAGCAATAACGATCAATCACGGGAATTAATTATAAATCTTAGATTGGTTACTAGGATTACACCTCTTCATCATCATTTAAATCATCTAGAATAAAGTTCATCGCGTTAGCTAATCAACGCTTCAAACGACATCTCAAACAACATCCTACAACTCAAGTTACAGCAATTTAAAACTGATTCTGTCAAAATTAGTCAGTATGGGTCGACACGAAACTCTATGGATCGACGCGTAATGCTTCTCTTGCACAACATGAATCAACACATCCTCCTCATGGATCGACTCATCCTGCTTCAAATTATAGCATGTATCGACACATGCACCTTATCGATCGACTCATCCTGAGTCTTGCAACTAACATGTATCGACGCAAGCCCTGCATGCATCGACTCATCCTGAGTCTAACCTCGCCCATGTATCGACTCATCCAGCTTGAGGTCGACACATCCTGGTTCCTCCTGCATAATTCTACGATTTCCTCTGTATTTTCACTATGGGAATTCATATTACAGCCCTACAAACCTTATTATAAACATAATAAATCATCACCTAACATTAACCTATAATACTACATCGATCAAACGATATCATAACGTCATTATTCATTCAAATGTGTCAAATCTTCATCATACATCATCCAATTCAAGAATAAAAACATAAATCCTCTAACCCCACATATCAAACATCATGAACCCAATTATAAAGTCAGAACCCCACCCTTACCTTGGATTGAAGGTCTCTCTATAATTTCGGGTTGAATCTTCGTTCTTGTTGTTTCCTTCTATTTCCAGCAGCTTCACGTTCTCCTCAAATCCTTATTTTCTCTTCTTATTGCTTCCTCCTTCTATTCTTCTCACAAATAATAAAATAACCTAATATTATTATATTATTCCTTTTTGGGCTCCAAACCTACACCCCCTTATTACTCCCACTCACACCATATAGGCCCACATGAAATAATATTAGCTTCTAACATTATTTCACCAAACAGTAATATTATACCTCTAATATTATTATTTCTCCACTTAATAAAATAAATCCAATTTAATAACACTTCTTCACAAATATTCTAAAAATAATTTAATTAAATAATTAATTAAATTACGGGCGTTACAGCTGGCGTAACCCTGGGATTACCAATCATCGCCTACTATTTTCCTTTTTCTCTTGTAGAAGCATCTGTCACATCTTGCACATTGGAAGGACCAAATACTCTCCCGCTTCTAGTCATTCGACCCACACCAGAAAAGTTATGAACTTCCTCTTTATTATCTTCGACGCGTTCTTCCTCAGACGCACGGGTACTTACCTCCCGCTTCACCCCATGGTAATAGACATCGGCACCGTAATGCCATGGGATGGCCTTCTCACTAGTATACAGCATGGGACCAGGTACCGTAATCATCAAAGGAGGTGCCCTAGATGGGGTAGGAATACGCACAAGGGTGTAAGGAATAGATATCACATCAACATCTTCTTCGGTAACCTTACGGTAACTCGGTTTCCTATCAAATTGCAGGGAACCCTCCTTTATCAACAACTGGATACCAGCTTTTAAATCATCACAACCATTCGGTTGCTCTCTACACTTGGCACACTCTGAAGTACAACCCGAGAAAATAGAATTGTCAAGCAGATACCTCTTAACATAGCACAACAGAGTAGTTACTTGTTCCACATTCATGATTAAATTCAATATTTCACCATTATCATCAATCATATTAACAACACCTGTTGTACCCCAATTTTTGACCTAAGATCCCATTTTTATTTTTTCATTTTTTAAGATAAGTCAAGGTCACGAAATACGGTCGGTTTTAACGTCTCATCTTCGAGCTTTGACTATGCGAAGATTGTCAAGTGTTTTGAACATTTTGAGCCTATGTATCACTAATTTCTAATCGCATACAAAAGTGTATGTTCATGTTTTCTTTTGTGTCATGTGCAGAGACAGGTCTGAATCAAGAGCATCAGGTGTCGCGCCTCAATTAAGGTTTTGAGTCTCCCAAGCCAGAAGTACGGTTGATTGTGGATTCTCGAAGACTGATTCATCAAGGCACAACTGTTGCACCCGAAATTTCGCCCCTAATATGTTTTAGTCGCACTTTCATATCATATTTTGTTATTTAGTCACAATCATTAGTAAATATCTTCATTCATCATATTTTGCATCATTAGTCGTATTTAAGTTGACCAGAAAAAGTCAGTTTAAATCAAAGTTTGCATCGTCTTTCAGTTGTAAAATACCCGGCATTTTGCTTCATGCATTTTTATCTATTTACTCATTTGTTGCATTGCTCCAAGTTGTTTATATGTCAATAATAAAAATATTTTGGTTTTATAGACAGACTGTTAAATGCGATTCGACACTATACGAAAATTAGCGAGAAAAAATATTTCAAGTGTTCACTTTTTACCGATCATTCTATGAATCTGCGTCTCGCGTAGATTATGACGGTATGCTCGCTTTATTTTTTCGGTACAGTTCGAAATCTCGTTTTTAACCTTAAACGTCTGTTTAGTCTGATATTTTTATTATTATTTTATTTTTGATTTTTGACTTCTTGAATATTTTTTCGTTAATCTTTGTGACATGTAGATTATTTTAATGTGTTCATTTTATTTTTTTCGGATAAATTTTCGTCCGTTTTTATCATTTTCGGTCATTTTGGATCTTTATTTTTTATTCATAACATATTCAAAAAAATTAGTTTAAATTGAGTTATTTTCTATACTTTCAGGTTTTTATTTTATTTTGTCATTCAGGGCATTTTTGTCACAAAAATATATTGTTACACTACACTTTATTCCTATTGGTTGTTAACAGATGTGATGGATCGATACTGAATTTGCCAAATGGAATTGAATAATGGACGGATATGATTGCAAGCTGAAATCTTTTTTCCTCTTCATCTGACTATTTAAATAGTCTTCATTTTCTTTGTGAAAAGACAACAAAAAAATACACCAACAAAAAACAATTTCATCTCTCTATTCCTCTCTCCTGCATCCATGTCTGGTCTTATTGAGTCACATTATTTCTTCAATGCCAAAGAAACCACACTTTTCAATCCCGCCCATCTTCATAGCAACTCAACCAACCAACTCAAAATGTCGTACATCACCCTTACCACTCTTCTTCAAAAGCCCCTTCTGTCCTAATTTTTCATTTCACATAAATTGAAGACAAATTTCCATTTCTTAAACTTGTCATTTCCATCACTGCAGAACCAAAACCTCAATTCCCATTACTCTGTTTCGTTTGCGCATTTTTTCAAACACATGGTGGTTCTTTTGAAAAGGCTCTTAATCAAACACAACAAACAATGCTCTCAATTTTATTCAACCTCAAAAAACAACATCCAAACTCAAAAACTCCTCAACAAAGCAACCTTATACCTACTTTGTTCCACACTCAATCACTTCACAACAAAACCCAATCCACGCTCACCGCACCATCGGAGATGTCGGCACCGGGAGTCGGAATGTTGGACGGCGGAGTCCCAACGGCGCAACCACCCGGAATAGACATGACCGGAATATGCTTCAGAGACCAGCTATGGCTGAACACTTACCCTCTCGATCGTAACCTCGTCTTTGATTACTTCGCTCTGTCACCGTTCTACGACTGGACTTGCAACAACGAACAAATTCGAATGCGATCTCTTCACCCACTCGATCCCTCTCAACTCACGAAAATGACTGGTATAGAGTATGTGCTGGGTGAAGTTATGGAACCTCACCTTTTCATTATAAGGAAACAGAAGAGGGATAGCCCCTGATAAAGTTACTCCAATGCTTTCTTATTACATCTTGGATGGTTCAATCTATCAATCTCCGCAGTTATCCAATGTTTTTGCTGCTAGAATTGGAAGGGCACTTTATTATATTCAAAAGGCATTTACTACAGCTGCCTCTAAGTTGGAAAAGAGTGGATATGTTGATACTGAGAAAGAGACTACAGTTTCGGAACCGAAGGCCGCTAAGGAGACAATTGACTTAAAAGAAATCAAACGAGTGGATCATATTCTTGCATCTTTGCAACGCAAGCTTCCAACAACATCCGCAGCCGCGCCGCTCAAGCCCCTTCACACAACCACGACAACCACCGCTCAGCTTCCAAACCACGACCACCCTCCGTCAACCTCAGATCCTCACAACAACTCAACCCTCACCATCGCGTTGCCTTTAACGTAACCATTCAACGCTGTGAAGCCGCACACCACCAATGAAGAAAAAACGAGAAGATGAAGGAGGTAGACGAGAGAGATGAAGAGGATGCTTTTGTGGATCTGATACTTTACATCGTTTGCATTATGGTATGGATTTTCTTTATTTTTTAATTTTTTTTGTTTGAGTAACACGTGTCATTATCTCATTAACTAAGAACTTTGGTTTGAATTTACTTTATGCTACGTGTTAATATATTATTGGTTGGGCAAGAGATAGAAAAGTCTAGAACCACAAAACTAATGAGGGGCATCGTTACCTCTCTTATGTAGTTATTGTTTTCTATTTTCTTTTTTTATTTTTATTATTCATTTTTATTTGTATTTGCATTAGTATATGATGAATTAGGTTTAAAGTTTTTTAGGCCCAACCATTTTTTACTACTTCCCCTCCATTTTGATGTTTTCTAATTTTCACACCAACTTTGTTAGTTATTTTTTATTGTTAATTAGTTAATAGTAATTCTTTATCATAATTTTAGATAAACCTCAATCGGTTTGTTTAGTTTAGAATCAACTTAACATTTTCTTTAGAATTAGTTAGTAAGTTTAGAATTTTTATCAAGCTTAGTTAGTATTTTTTTTTTAGGATTTTATTCGGTAGTTAATAATTTTAGAATGTTTAATTTAGTTAATAACTTTAGAATGTTTGATTTAGTTTAGTTGGTAATTTTATAATTTTCATTTAGTTTAGTTATTAGGTTTTAGAATTTTAATTCAGATTTAATTCAATAATCTTAGAAATTTCAATTATAGCTTAGAGTTAATGTTTGCTATATTCCTTTATGCTTGATTTTTTTCTTCCGTCACGTATTCTTTATTATCATTCACTTGTTATCAATTTTTGTTTATGTTTATTCCTTTTTTGATTTTCTTTTCATATGTTAATAAATTTTGTGATATTTTCGACTTAGTTCATTTTAATTTTTATAGCTTATTTTACTGTTTGTTTGTTTAAATCCAAGGGAAATAATTAATTTGTTGACTTCATGTCATCGAGTATCTAATACGATTGTGTGAACCTCTTCATACATTTTTAATGTTGTAAATCTTAAGTTAAATCTCCTCAAAACCTAATTTCAAACATACACTCTTTTTTTAAACCAAAACTTCGACACGAGGTCGTCGTATCTTCAAAATCACATCCATAACCATTTTAATCAAACAAACAATTTTAAACCAAAAAACAGATATTTCAAAAGGTTCCTGCAGAGTACCGCAGATGCATTGGGTGCTAATACCTTCCCATTGCATAACCAACCCCCGAACTCTTGATCTCTTTTCAAAAATGCATTGTATTTTCATTATTTTACATTGCATGTTTTAGGGTTTTATTTTGCTCTTTTCCCTTTTCCCTTGGAAATAATAAAGCACGGTGGCGACTCTTGCTTTTGTGAGTCAAGTTAATTAATAGCTTGATCTCCAATTTTCACCGCTACACACTTACACTTTCTTCAAAAACAAAACTCTTTTCAAAACCTACAAACACAAAGAAAAGCAAACTTTTGAAAACATAGTGAGCAAGTACCTAAGAGCCCGTGGATAACCACGGATAGAAAGGGTGCTAACACCTTCCCTTTCTATAATCTACCTCCCGAATCCGAGAAACATCTCGAAAAGGAATTTTTCTGTGCTTTTGTCCTTTCCTTGTTGGATAAAATAAAAGACGGTGGCGACTCTTGCTTACCACGACATTTTGCGAAAATAAACGCAAACGCGAACCAGCATTCCAAAATAGTCAGTTCTCGTTCCCACCGATCACAGAACTGGCGACTCTGCTGGGGACATATTGACCTCTTGCTTGTCCATCCCTAAGTGGGTTAAGCCTAATTTGTTTTATCTGTTTTATCATTATTTGATTGTTTGATTATATGTATATATTATGATTATTTGGGTGTTGATAATTTTTGCAAAGGACAAGTCCTATACCCGGACTAAGTTACACTTAGGAATAGGACGGACGGTATAGTCATGTTAACTTTGAGGGAGTAATCCCGAAGAAGGAGGCATGAGATCCCCCACTCAGTGGAAGGCCCTTTTGAACGTAATATTTGTTTACCGAGTAATCGGGAAGACATTATTATTTTCGACCTGGGAGCCAGAGAAGCTGGGAACCGTAGAACCCTAACCCATCTTGGCCTTTTAGGTGTAGCGCGGAGATTATAACGGAGTAATCCAGAAGTAATTGTTACGCGATGCTACGCTCGGATGAGTTTCTCTTGAGAATATCGCTGATTATTGAGTAATCAAGACGTTGGTAATATCCGAAGGAGGAATGTAGACTCCGGGAACTCTTAGAACCTTGTTCTACAGGTGTGATTAAACCGTTAGTACATACCTTGGGGGTGTTCCTTACCTTGACTCCATGTTCGTGACGTTGAACCTTTCGACTTTATTTGTGACCTTGCTTGTGGTTGTTACATAGCCATGCATTCATGCATCCATAAAACCCTTTTCATTTGACTTTGAAGGAACTTGGAGGTCTTTCTTTGTAAACATCATAAGTTTCGTCAAGCTCAATGGATCTTGGGTGCCGATAGGGCGAAAACCCTGATCCACCAAAATGGATGATTGATCTTGATGATAACTTGATCAATGTTTGGAGCCAATTTAAAATTCATCTTCTATCTTCATACTTTGATGTTTACAACTTAATATCTCGAGTTCCTTGAAAACCAAATAAAAACTCTCTTTTGCATATCATGCATCATTCTACATTTTTTGTTTCACTTTCAAAGGTCTTTTTCCAAGTCTTATTTTTCCTTTGGTCTCACCAGTACAACACTGACGCTAAGAGAACAATGGAGAATATCAAGCAAGAGGTTTCTGAACTCCGTAGAGAGATGACTATGTTGAAAGCTAGTATGGAGCACTTAACTAGTTTGGTTGAAATTCTGGTTGCCGCCCAAGTCAATCCTTCTAGGAGGGAAGAAGCGATGATAAAAGTCTTCACTGAAACTCTAAAATCATTCTCTCATGAGAAGGTGATGGTTAATGCACCTAATGACTTTCCTGACAAAGTGAATGTGGGAGTGCGTCTAGAAGAAGATGTTGGGAAGGGATGTTCATATGAAGATGGTAGCTCAGCTAATGGTGTGAAGAAGTTTGATAATAACTTTTCCAAGAAGAGAACCAGAGGAAGAAATAATCATCATCAGAATCATCATGTTTCTCCCATTTATCAACAGAATCAGCAAGTTCCTAATCAGAGGAAAACTCAATTTGATCCAATTCCAACCACCTATACAGAGTTGTTCCCTATCTTGATGCAGAGGAATTTGGTTCAGACCCGACCTCCACCGAAGGTTCCTGAGAAGATACATTGGTACTACAAAGCTGATTTGGCTTGTACCTTTCATCAAGGTGCTCCTGGGCATGACTTGGAGGGTTGCTTTGCTTTGAAGATTGAGGTTCAGAAGTTGGTCAGAAGTGGTATCTTGTCATTCAAGGACGTTGGTTTTGAAGTTCAAATCAAGCATGCGCCGAAGAGTAAACACGACTGATGGTCACTTTGAGTTTTGAAGGATGTTTTCGGTAATTCAAGTCCATATGGAAAGCCTTCCTAGATTATTAACTTATTCATGCTTTTTGTAATTTTTCTTGTTTATCAAAACATTGTTTGCATGTAAGAATTTGTTTGCATATGAATGATTATCTTAATACAATGAGTATGTTTGTCTTGAAGAAATTCATTCGTTTCACTCATATTTGTTTTCAAATTTTAAATTTCTTTTTGCATTATGATACCAAATTGTTGCTCATTCTCTTGCCTAGGCAGAGATTGAAGGGAGGATGATGATCTAAAGAACACAAAATCTCTGGTTGCATGCTTTTGGATAAAATCTTGCTGATGATGTACAAGCATTGTTTCAAATCCCTAAACACTGGAGATATAAGGAAAATAATCCCTTGCTAACCCCTTTTGAGCCTTTGAAGCAGAAGTTTCTTTTCTATATGAAAAAACCTTGAATTTTAACCTGGGGCAGGGTAGTTTTTAGTTAATCTGACTGAGTGTTCAAAATTCATAAGGAAGATGTTTTTTGAAGAGAAACTACGAGGGCTATCTTTCATGTATAATGAAGCCAGAAGATGTGGAATCACAATGTTATCCCTCATTCATCAAGAAACGAGGCAATCACAATCTTCTCAACAAGCAAATACAAGCTAATGTCACACATTTTGTTCAAAAGGTCAAAAATCGAGAAAAAGAAAAAGGCCTGCTAAGTCAAAAAACATGAAAATATGTGACTTAGGCAAAATTAAGGCATCCCGCTGGACTATCAATTCGAAAGAATTAGTTCAGGCAAAAGTTAGGGAAAATAAAAATTGCAAAGAAAAGGACTGCAAAGAAAAGTCCTCAGCAAAGAACAAATTGATGACTACAAACACGAAGACATGAGGTTGGTTTCTACTCCGAAAGCCTCGTCGTTTCCTTGACCGTCACAAAATATTTTTGAGAGATGAACACTCATGTTGAATTAACTGAACATAGGGTTGGAGAACATCATGAAGAATGGGTGGGCACCAAATATTTTGAGCCTTAAAATCTTTTTTCTAAAAACCATGAACCAGACCACGTTACAACCTTCAAAAGTCCTAATTGAAGCAAGGTTATTTTGAAAGCATACTTCAATGAGATAGTGTTCCTGACTCCCATGAATGTTCTAAATAGTTATGTTGGTATCATATGTTTTTCCTATACAAAAATAAATGGTGCTTTAACTCGCAAAATTTGTGCGATATCTTTCAAAATCTTCAAGACTTACATAATTGTTGCATTAGAATTTGCATTCTCATTGTAAACTTTTCCTAACTGCAAAACATTTGTTTGATATCAAGGAAGCTCACATAAGCACCAGTGATGAGTTTTTTCTTTTAAGGCCTGAAACTATGTTGAGTAATTGGCGGATCATGTCAAGAAAAAATCATATCCAGGGGCATGTCACCTGAAGAACGTAAGCACGAACA